ATATATATATATAGATCTACATGTATACATGCATGCATATTACGACCCGAAACCCCGGTACGGGCTTTCTCGTTTTGGAGGCCAAATTCGCCCGGGCACCAGGACCACGTGCAACGCACCGTTGTCTGCAGAGCTGAAGCCAGGAGGCTGGCGGTCCTTCATGGAGGCCTCCGACAGCTTCGGCTTGCGGTTTGGGGTTTAGGGTTTAGGGTTTAGGATTGAGGGTTTAGGGTTTAGGGTTCAGGGTTCAAGATTTTTTTTTGAGCGCGGATTTACATTTGTCGTGGCGCGAGGGTTCAAGGAGTACGCTTACGGTTTACAGGGTGCCCCGGATGATCGATGTTTCTGGGCGAAGCGGGCCAGCATGAGAGGATTGTGATGGCCTGCGGGTCTCAAGGCCTCCTTGGCTGGACGGAGACGTCTCGTCAAGGCTAGTTACGGCTACTGTAGTTGGTTCGGGGCTGATGGATTCGGACAGCCTGACTTTCGGGTCTAGGCATGTTGGCTTGCTTTGGAGGGGGTGTTTGCGAGCTCCTGGTCAACATTAAGGCGTCCGCGCAGTAACAACATGCGACCGCACATCCTGCCACTTCATCCCGAAATTAAACTCCCAACTGTTGCACCCACAGATATCTTATGATAGATCTGAGTACCCTTCACCCGGCTCTTAGATCTGTTTCCTTTCGAGAGACCCATTGCTGAAGGAATGCCCGCACCCAGGGCCGGTTCTTGGCGATGTAGTTGCCTGAGCTTCCTACACGTTTCTGCGAAGTCAGAAATGCGGTGATAGGCGCTACGAGTACGGGTTGGAACTAATTACACGGAAGCTTTACGTACTTCTATAACTTATTGTAGCCGCTGATAACCTGTAATCTTTCTGGTCACGCTACCAGATTTGGGCCCCTTGTCGTTTCGAACTCCGGGCTTCTTAACTCTTGGGGGCGCCTGTTTGTGGAGTTCCTATGAGGGTCCTACTACTTCGAATCTGCATGTGGCCCGACACTCTCGGGAGGGCTCATAACGGTGCAGCCCAAGTTCCGGCCATGACCTCCTCGCCGGTGATGCCTCGGAGACCAGGGCTTACGGCTTGAAGCAGTGGCTTTAACAAGCATACTGTGGTTTTGGGATAGATTCACTTTTATATTGGGGACTGTACGGGCATTCTGTTACCAGTTATTTAGGCTTCGATACTTGGACTTCAGGATCCGAGGCTAGACTTGAGGCTCGCACTCGGCATGGTAAAAGGCCAGAGTTTGCGGTTCAGGTTCAGGGCTTGTTGATTGGGGTTTGGCATCTGGGGCTTCTGAATTGGGGGGTTTAAAGGCATCCCCATCGATCCCACGTGCACAACTGCCTGAAGCCGTGAAGCTCAAGCAAAGCGCAACAGAATCACAAGCTCTTTCGGAACAGTTCCCTAGACCTTGCCCTCAACGTCCGAGAGCATGCAAGTAGCACCTCCAGACTACGAGCCTTTGCCAGAGTATCAAGTAAAAGACTTGCTAAGTAGGTTAAGATCCAGCAGGGTGACTTGATTCATCACTTGTAACTCTACTTACTCTACTTGTAACCTACTGACTAAGTCCCCTGAGCCTACCAGAAACCAGAAAGAATGCCGAAAGGAAGTCTGGCGGAGCGGCGCTCGTAGAACTGCAGGTCCGCTCGGCTCTGCATCCACCTGAACTAGAGCCCGGCGTTTGGGGTCTAAGCCTCGGAAAAAACTTGCTCCTTAAGGGGTTAACCTCGAATAACCGGACTCTTGATAATTAATGCGATCTATGTAGACCCCTGGGTGCTTCGGCTCTCTGGGGACGTTTTTGAGGCGGGGGCGCATCACGGAATGAAAGAGCTGCAAACATTCTCGTGCCTGGCACAGGCTGATGACCCATTAAGCGTTTTTGTTTTGCCTGCCTTCGTGAAACCGGCGCGGCAATCGTGTGGAGCTAGCCCGGCAGAGCTGCATTCAGGACATTTCGCCATCCCTGCATACCATAAACCTTAAACCCTACAAACCGAACCTCAGAAGAATCCTTAGGCTCTTAAAGGAACCCTGAACCCTACTGCCAGGCCACCGGTCAAGGCTTCGATCTAATGCGGCGGCCACGACGTCAGAGTCGAGCACGGCCAGGCTATACCTGACTGTGGCGAGGTTGAGGGTTTTCGACTCTCACTCTCGCACAAGGCAGGCCAGGTTCCATACAATTCCGTATGGTTTAGGGCTGAGGGCTTACCGGGAAATCCCAAAATAATACGCCTCATATGATAAGAACACCGCAAATAGAATGACCTAGCTAACATCGTTTCTAAAAGGGGCGCACCCAGATTTGCTATAGCGCTTAACAGAAGTCGCTTCTCCCAGCCGAGGGGCCCTGGCTCCTGCGCCTGCAGCAGGCTGGCAGCCGCGCAGTGCTTCAGGAAGAAGTAGCCATTCGGGGCTTTCCAAAGCCTCAGGGCTGGGACTTACAGCGCAGGGCTTTGCGCTCAGGGGTAACGGCTTTGCCTTCAGGGCATAGGGTGCTTCTTGATGGTTTCAAGTCTTAGCAGGCTCCCAGGGTTCCTGCGTAGGCTTCTTGCCTCAACCGTCCCCGCGAGCCCTTGCAGCGGAGGCGCTCGGCACATGCGGTGAACTCACCACCGCTGAGAAGCCAAAGGTCGTAGCCTGACAACGGACCCCCCAAGCTCGTTCCTTCTCAAAAAGTGCTGCTATTCGTTCTTAATTACAACAAGTAAGTATTGACCAGGACTTGTTGAAGGGGCCGACATAATTCAGCGACAACCTATGCGTTTATTCACGGGTCGCACAAAGAACAGCTATCACTTCCTCATCAAACGCCTCCATACGTGACACCCTGCTTGCGCTTACCCCTGAACGCTGAAAGTATGCTCTGGGATGAGAGAGCCACCACTTCGGAGCTGGCCTTGTGCCCTCGCGTAGCAGCGAACGCTCTGGATCTGGTTGGCATATCTCCTCGGGCAAAGGCTTTGGGTTTGGACGGTCTTCTCGATTTGTGCTGCTTTGTTGGATTTCGGCGCTCACACTCCGACAATCCAGGCGAGGCAAATGGTTCGAGGTCCGCTGAGAAGTTCTTTGTTGGATTTAAGGTTTCGGGTTCTCGCTCTCTCTCCCTCTCCCTCTCCCTCTCCTGATTTTGTTGCAGGTAACAGCTACGTATCAACCAGTTCAAGCTGCAACACAAATCCCATCAGCCGCCCCAAGTCAGATTTAGTACATTATATGGTATGGTGTAGTATACTGCAGCTAGATATAGTATATTGGTATACTGTAGTCACTGTAGTACACATCATATGTAGTACATTATGATTATTATAACTTTGAACTTGAATGCCAAGGCCAGGCTCTCTCGAAAATGGTCGTCGGCCAGCACGGCAATGCCAGCGCGCCTGCTCCCTGCAGGGGCACATTTTGCTCAGCTCTAGAAGATGTGCTCGTTTGCAACTTGCAGCACTCGGTGCTTGCATAATTACCCGAAAAACTCTGCAACAGAAGGAGCTCGCAAGATCAAGCAAACAGGCGGTCTGCAGCTTCTTCTTGAGCCAGCTACAAGTCCACAAAGCTTTCAAGCTGTCCCGTGCCAAACGCTGCTCTGAAAGAGGTTGCCCTCCCCACCTTGGACTTCTGGGCGAACCTGACTGCCTACGTCGACCGCAGCATGATGCTCCTGCAGATTGCGTTTCGTAGGATCGGGGCGCGGAGTGCGAACGCGGGGCCTGCCAGTCGAAGTGGTTTGTGACTGTTGTATACGTGGCACGAAGCTCAAAGTCCTGCACGTCAAACTAAAAAGCAACAGCAGCGGGATGTGGTGACATGTTTGGCTCCACTCCCTCGAGAGAGGGAGCACCCCAAGCCCCAAAGCGAAACCATTCTTTCGTGGTTGAGACTCTTGGCGCGAACTGCAACAGGCCAGTGAGCCAAGGAGTATAAAAATAGTAACTGTTGGTCTCAAAAGGTGATCTGCGGTTCGGCTTCCTCGAGCTTGAGGTATATTCCGAAAAACTCAAGCTTGAACCAGAACCTGAATGCTGAACACCGAACCTGCAATGCATCCAGTTATTTCGCGGCGTCCGAAGCTTTCACCGTCCGGCGCTTTAGAATCTCATCCCTGCGTGCAATCTGCCAATCTGAAGGTTCTAACTACAAAGGTTCGAGTTTTCAACCTTCAAACCAAGGTTTCGCGCTTGTGTTCCCAAACCCATACAGTCTCGGTCTCCTGAATCGCTGCCGCGTGGATCGCAAAAGCCCACACCAGAAGACCGGGGTCCCACATGGCACGTGAAAGCGCTACATGGATGGGCCTGCTACTAAAGCTTCGGGGCCAAGAAAGAAGAGTGGAAAAATAGCCCGACACCACGACGGCAAGGCCATGTATGCATCCACACCGGCACCCAAAGCTAATGTGCTTCAGCGCATGACCGCAAGCAAGCACAACTGGCTGTGAGGGCGGCTTTCCTAGCGCGTCCCTCGGAACGGTCATTTCTCTGTCGCTCGCGACTATGCTGCCTTCACCATTGCCTAGCACTATTCGTGAAAAAGCTGCGGCATTCGGACAGCTTTGACCTAGCATCCACCATGTAGCGTATCATTGTTCGGCAGGGGGAGCTAGCTACCGTGTAGTTGAAATCTTTGGTGGGCATGCCGACATCAACCACCTCAACCAGAATCTCTTCGAAGGCCGCCGTCGGGTAACAGGTCCTGTTAGATCTGTAAGTTTGGAGCCCAAAGGCCGATGACTTGTACTCGTAAGCGATGTTTGCCGCAGCGGCATCATCCTGAAAAACACAGTCTCCTTGTGCCGAGGTGACCCAGACAGCCTGTCCCAATCGGGCACTGTAGCACAAGTTATTCGACTTGACAAGAACCTCGCAGCCTGCCAGCCTGTCGGTATTGAAACTGCCGGGCAGAGCTTCGTCCTGCTTGAACTTGGCTCTCCACCACTCTGGAAGCACCGTATCGGCCCGGAGGACCTTACCAGTGTTTTGACCAGTTTCCATCCAAAACGAGCCGTCTGGGCGCCCAAGGCAGCGGCTTGTACCAAGTTTAAGCGATGTCACTAGAATATTCTCTCCATCAGAAAGCCACGAATCAGCCGTTGGGGCGGCAGCGACTCCATCAGCCACGTCAAAGGGAAAAGTACCTCGCAACAACTTCGTGGCTAGTGCCAGGAAATGTACTTAAGCCACCCCAGAGCGCCAGAGCACCCTGACCAGCCTGGTGCTGCTTAGGTGACGTTCTGGGAAGCATAACAGTGGTTGCTACGCCCCGAACCCACCCCCCACCGCCACCGGGCCGCGTTGGTCCAATTCCGGGTGAAGTCTGATGTGACAAACGACTCTATTATTTGAGTTGAGCATATCTCTCAAAACTCGAGCAGAAAACAACTTGGCCTCGCAAAATGTGCTCTCTCGCTTGACTGTTCTATGCTACGGCCACTGTCGTGTGCCGTTGAAGACTCGTGCACCCTTAGCGACTTCTGCTGAATGACATGAGGGTGAAGCAAAAACTGAGCTCTTTGCGGGTGACCGCCCTGCGGAAGTCTCCGGACTCGTAGAAAATGTAGCTAAGATGAGGAGGCGAGCTCAGAACCGCAGGCTCCACGAAGTGCATGCAGGATTTGGGGAGCTCTTCTGAAGGAACTTCGCTGCAGCTCAAAGAAAGGTTGCATGTGCATGCATTAGGCGATCCAGGCGAAATGGTCAGGGACTCCCACTTGACGAGGTCATATCCACAGCGCCGGCCTCTAAATTCTGTCAGGGCATGCTCTGATGTCCTGCAACCATCGCAGGCATAGTTAGATGTGTAGCGGCTGGTTAGCGTATACACGATCTGCGAGGAGCATAGTGGCTTTCCTGGCGTCTTTGCACACCAGCTTGTTAGACTGAAGTGCTGTGGATCGGGGTTCTTCGGCGGTCCCACATCAGGCCATTCCACCTTGCACTTGGCTGGTGGCAAGGCCTCTGCAGAAGTCCATCTCAGTCGGGTGGTTTTGTGTACCCCGTGGACAAGCATGGCTTGGCCTGCTTTGCAGGTGTTGCCGTCGGCATCTACCAGGTCTGCAGTCAGTCGTGTCACATGTACAGCCTGTCCAAACCCGCACAGCGGCCGGGGTACACAGGTTCCAGACACTGTAGAGCCGCTCCACACGATGCGGCCAAAAAAGCCTCCTGCACATTGACATGCGGGACCCGGAGCGAGGTCAGAGTGGAGAACACGACAAGGCACCGGCTCGCAGGCTCCACTGGCTGACGGACCATCCCACGTGATGTTGCCTTGGAACCCATCTTTGCACCGACAAGCTGGCCCGGGCTCGAGGTTGGAGTTCGGAATGTTGCAAGGAGCTGGCTTGCAGCTCCCACTGGGTACGTCATCTTTCCACACAATCTCTCCAACAAAGCCGTCCAGACACTTGCAGCCCTTCCCCGGCTTGTGATTGGAGTTGGAAATGTTGCATTGGGCCGGCCAGCATCTTCCCTCTGGCTGTTCGCCCATCCACGTGATCTGGCCAGAAAACGCATCCAAACACTTGCACTCCAGTCCTGGCTTAAGATTAGAGTTTGGAAGATCGCAGTGGGCTGCCGTGCAAGTCCCACTGGGAAACTGACCCTTCCACGTAAGGTCTCCATAGTACCCATCTGCACAGCGGCATGCCTTGCCTGGCTGCCTGTTTGAATGCTCTAACCTGCACGGAGCCGGTACGCATTTGATTTCGAAGACTCTTACACCCAGCACAACAGACGCGGCTCTGGACCCATTGATTTCGAATCCATCCATGCAACCACACTCAAGGCCCCGCTTGCGATTCGAATGTGTGCCAAGGCACCGCATGTGATGGCAGCTGCCGAGATGGTATGGTCCTTTCCAACCAATTCTGCCCTCGAACCCCTCGAGACACTTGCATGCGGGCCCAGGCTCCTCGTTCGAATTTGCAATTCTGCACGGTGCCGGCTCGCAGTCTCCCGAAGCATTGGCACCTGACCAAGTCACCGCGCCATCAAAGCCATCTTTGCACTTGCACTCTGTTCCGTTGCCCGTTGCGTTTGCAATGTTTGCACATGATGCGGGTTGGCAGGGTCCCTGTGGTGTTTGGCCTTTCCAAGTGATCTTCCCTGCAAATCCATCTAGGCAGGCACACTCTTGGCCCCGCTGTCGGTTGGAGTTCTTGATCGCGCAGGGCGCCGGTGTACAAGTGCCGCTCGGACGGTCGCCATGCCACCTTATGTCACCCACATAGCCATCCTTGCATCTGCAGCCGGGACCGCGTTGCTGGTTGGAATTCTCTATGCGGCACTCTGCGGCTTTGCAGCTTCCGTGAGGCACTGCACCCTGCCAAAGAACATTGCCTGTGAAACCATCTCTGCACTTGCATTGCGCTCCTTCGCCCGCGCTGTTTTCAACGTTTTCTGCACAGCCTGCAGCCGGTGCACATGCCCCGCTAGCTTGTGAGCCGTTCCAGGTTATGTTGCCGTCGTAGCCGTCCATGCACTTGCAATCCGGCCCCATGCCAACGGAGTGTGGAATGCCGCAGTCCGCTGGCAAACATTCACCAGATGCAAGGGATTGGTGCCATTGAACCTCACCGGAGAAACCGTCCCTGCACTGGCACTGGAGCCCCAGATCCCTGGTCGAGTTTTCAATGTAACATGGAGCAGGAGTACAATTGCCACTGACATTGGCACCCTCCCAGACGATGTCTCCGACATAGCCGTTGCTGCAGTTACACAACGGACCTGGCTCCCGGTTCGAATTATCAATGTCACATGGAACCGGAGTGCAGAAATCTTTCGCCAACATGTTCTCTACTTCCTCTGCTTCAGCATCGAGGCCGCCTTCATACCCATCACAGCAGGAACAGTTGTGTTCTAAGCAGCCGCACACATACTTGACGGTCTTCACCTCCACGTTCAAGTCCAGCGTCGTCGATGACTTCTTGCTCAGGCCTTGCGGGAAGGCTTCCCTTCTCAAAGACCCCAGAAACCATTAACTGCGCTTGCAAAAAACACTGCGCCGATCCAACCCCGGAGTCAGACTCACGGATACTCACGGCAGACTGGTGGCGCATACGGCAGCTACTCTGAACGGCCCGTCTTCTGTTGCTTAACCATGAGCCTTCAATCGAGGACGAATCACGCACCCCTGCCTCGAGCCGTCAGATTGCACTTCGTGGATGCCGCAGCCGGAATCTTCAGGATGGCGGGCGTCTCATCGAATTGAATGAGTGAGTGCTGAAGCGGGTAATCAGTGCAGTTCTTCGTGTTCTCGCAACAGATCTGGATACTCCTGGCGTCAAAACGGTTGCCGGGCAAAATCTCCAGAGCCACCCTTATGTGCTGATGTGCCACTGGCACGCTACATATGCTACTTTCCACTGCAGACCAAGCTTCGAGGTTTGTGCGGCCCGGGTCTTCACGTGGAGAGACGGATCTTTGTCCAACAGCAACACATATTGTTTGCGCTTGCTTTCGGCATCGAAAGCAGGCAACAAGTATGCCGAGATGGCCCTCCTTAGAAGGGAATGATGTCAACGCAGCCACATTTCCCACCTGCAATCTCCAAAGCGCTGGCAACCTCAAACCTGAGCCCTTCAGGCTTTATCTAGTCACATCGGCCCTCGACCTCGTGATTCAATTTGGATTGGATGATCCAGCGGTCTGTTCTCCACTCGATCCCATTCATCTGGCCGAGACTCACTTCCAGAATCTGTGGATCGACGAAGAGCCGCTCCGTCGCAAACTGAAGGATGCCTGGAACCATGCCGAACAGCATGACGATACCAACCTCGGCCGGATGCTACCGCACCATCAAGATAGGTATGCGAGTTTGAGGGTCGTGCTCTCAGGTCACTGAGTCTCAATGCACGCAATAAGTCCATCACCTAAAGCGAAAAGACCCTTCTGACAAGCCAAAGCCCAAAGTCAAGCAACGAGAAGCCAGGATAGCAGCCATGAGTGCGAAGGTGCGCACACACACACGGCAAGAAAGGGCATTGGGTGTCTTAGACTTGCAATGACCCTCACGGCTCGTTTTGTATCGTAAATACCGTGTTAAACGCAGGTCCGGATTCTGCATCTGCTAGACAACTCGTTCCGGTTCGTGAGCACGCACTCAACGGCAACACTG